CCAAAAAAAAAAAAAAAAAAAAAAACAAAACCATTCCGGTTTCCAGATTCAGCTTAGCTTTAAGGTGTCAAGCATATCTTCTATTTCTACTTCAGCTCTCTTCTTCCACTTGTGCTCTCTCTCTCTCTCTCCACACATGAGATGTGCCTTACTTTTCCAAAGGTAACAACAACTTGTGTACCATTCTCCTTGAGGAAGAGATGCCCCATGATGACTTCTTGATGCCTAGTAGTGTCATTGACATTGTTGTTGTCTAGCTTTCTTCTCTCTTTGATGGATCTTGGGGTGATGGGTTTGGAGGGGTTGGACAGTGTTGCTTCCTTTGGTTGTTCATCTCTTGCTTCAGATCCTGAGGCAAAGCACAAGTGGTACGGATCTGGGGTGCTCAAGCAAGAGAGGACTGTCACAAGTGAAGATGATGGTGATGAGTGGAGAGCTTCAAAAGTGGCTAAAACTCATGACATGTCTTCTGCATCATCCAAAGCAATGCTGTTTCATCACAGAAACTCCTTGCTGAGATCTAATGCTGCCACTCTCTTCTCTGACCATCATCACTCACAAATGCTGAGCTTTTCCTCTCCAAAGTCAGAAACTTTGTTGCTGGATAATAAGCCCTCCTCAAATGCCACATTGCCTTTTTCTTTGTCTAGTAATTACAACAGGAGTACAGGTACTTACTTGCATATCTTAGAGGGGAGTATAGTAGATATTGGTTATCAATTAAGCATTTTTTTTTTTTTTTATAAAAAGGGGTGTTTTTGGATTTTGATTTGGATTTGGAATATGGTATCCGTTGTGGGGAGCCAAAATATGTTATGTGGGTTGTTACTGTCTCATTCTACAGTACCGGTGGAGGGTCTTTTCATGGAGTGGTCTCTGTTTGTGAGTCATGTCAAGGGAAAGTAAAACAAAAATTCTCCTTCTCTTCCCGCTTTAGGAAGAGGGGTTTTGGTAAAAACTTTGCACTGTGGATTAAAGGGTACCAAAGGAGAAAAATATATGAATGAACAAGGATAAAATAAAGGTCCAAAATTTGATTGGTTGTTTCATATGGTCTCTTTTTATCTAAAAATAAAATCTCCGTTTCACTTTTTTCATGTCTTGAAAGAAAGAAAGAAAAGGTTGACTTGACTTCTGTTGTTTCTTGAAACCAAAGGAGGGAAAACCAACCATGCCATTGATTGAACTTCCCTCTTTTCGCTGTGTATAATATTTTTAATGTTTTGGAAATGTGAATAATTTGGAGTTGTGTTGTGTGGCATTTTCTTTTACCTTATTATTATTATGTTGTGGGGCATGTGTGTGTAGGTTACAATTCGGGAAGCAATAGCATGCATGGGGCATTAGTTGGTGCTATAGGGCTATTCACTCCATCACAGTGGATGGAGCTTGAACACCAGGCTTTGATCTACAAGTACATCACAGCAAACGTGCCTGTACCCTCTCATCTTCTCATACCAATCAGAAAAGCACTTGATTCTGCTTCCTTCTGCAACTTCTCAACCGGGCTCCTCAGACCTAACACATGTATGTAACTCTTCTTTTACGAATCAAATAGCCATGTAGTAGTAGTCACTAGTGGCTAGTGCTGTACATAGATATCTTTGTTTTTTTTTTTTAATAACTTTGATCTTTCAATAGTTACACCATGCTAAAACTAATCTCCAAATTTAAATTTTAAAACAGTACTATTTTGGGTTCACATAGCCTTAAACTATTTTGGTATAGTTTGAAGGACTAATTTGATTTAATGTATTAATGGTTATAAAGATGAGGGATAAAATAAAAGAAGCACAAAAAACTTATCCCAGTGTTTTTGGTACTGTTATTTAAGTCTGTTTTTGTACTAAAAGTTTACAATATTAAAGGGAAGCATTTGTGAATTCTTGGACCTTGAGACCTGTTTCCATCCTAGGGAATTCTTGGACTAAACTTTTTTGAAGAAAAAGAAAGCATAGCTGACCAAGTTCAAACTCTTATTCTTATACAAGACCAAAACACTTGAAAAAATAAAAGTTTTTTTTTTTTTCAATTAATTTAAAGACAACTTATATACAACTATTACCAGGAATTTTTGTATGATATGAAACCACCGTATATTCATGGTCACAGTCAAACTCTATGCAAATGGAATCCAGTTTTTTAAATCATGAAAAAGTTAATAAAATTCAACTATATCTTGATTAGGATCATGGACACTTAATCATTCTGATCATACAATGATTTCTTGTAACTTAGATATTGGTTTTGTTCTCTAATGAGTTTATGTTACCTTACCCTTTAATATAATTATAAATATGTTTGGATACAAGTTAGAAATGTTTATAAAGTTTCTCTACTAGAAAAAATTCTTTATTTTTTTTGTAGAGAAACTTTCAAAAACTCTTTTAAACTTGTATTCAGACAGGTTCCAAGTAAATTAGCACGGTGAAACTTCAAACAACACCAACTAAATTTAAGTTTTGTACTTGATGCAAAGAAAAGATGGGGTTGGTTTGAATGTTTTGATGATGTTGTTGTATAGTGGGATGGGGAGGTTTCCATCTGGGATTCTCGAACAACACAGATCCTGAGCCAGGGAGGTGTAGGAGAACAGATGGTAAGAAATGGCGGTGCTCGAGAGATGCCGTAGTGGATCAGAAGTATTGCGAGCGACACATGAACAGAGGACGCCATCGTTCAAGAAAGCCTGTGGAAGGCCAATCAGGCCATGCCCTCAACACCACCACTACTCCTAATGCTTCCTCTAACTCCATTGTGGTGCCCGGCAACAACACCACCACCTTTGCACACTCCTCTTCTGCCAACACCATCAATAGGTTAGTCACAACAACTCAAACACCTTCTAGAGTTTAACTTTCATGCATTCTATTTTGTCAACTAATCAGAAATCAATCAAATCATGCTACATACCACTTTTAAGTTACTTATTATAAAAGTCAATAAATTTATCATATATGCCAGTATGTGATTGTCAACTAATCAAAAATCGTGATGTGTATGTTTTCTAAATTATTTATTATAATAGTTAAGAAATTTAGGGTATATAATGGTACAATTGAATGATAGCGTAAAATTCATTTATGATGCATGTGGGTGTTCTATGGGAATATTGAAAATTTGTTTGTAGTTTTGATGATTATCATTCATTTTAAGTACTTTTCTGTGTTTTCCAACTTGGGACATTAATGTTTTCTAAAGTGAAGGGGTAAAGTGGTTTTTATAAAGTCGGGACTCGGGGACTAAAGTAGGGGTTTCCTCGTTGTGGTTGGTTTAGGTAGTGTATGCAGATTTATGTCATATCTTTTTGCTTGGTTTAGGACTTTAGGAGTTTGCATAGAAGAAAATCCAGGAATCTAGTATTTCATCCTTTTGGGCAGAAAGTGACAGGTCAATGTTAAATAGTGGTTGAGATTTGTGTTAGGGGTAAAAGAAAAGATAGTTCAAATTATGGTTCTTTATATAAAGATTGCTTTTGAGTTTTGATTCTTTATGAATGAGGTTTTTTTTTTTGTTTTTTTTTCATGCAGGATGTTTGTGAGCAACAAAGAGAACAACAATGCAAGTGAGAGGATGCCGGATGGCCCTGCCCTTCCCATGTTACCTCCCACTCTTGAGCTGAAACCAAAGGAGAACAACCCTTTCATGATTTATAAACACCAAATCCCCTCATATGATGAATCATCCTCAAGGAGCAACAATGAGTTTGGCCTTGTCACTTCTGATTCCTTGCTTAACCCTTCACATAAAAGAAAGGATTATGAGTCCCAACAACAACATCCCCTAAGGCACTTCATTGATGACTCTCCCAAACCAGAGTCTCATCACCACCACCATCACCATCATCTCTCTGGCGTTTGGCCTGAGCTTGACATGCAGCCAGACAAGACTCAGTTATCAATCTCCATACCAATATCCTCCTCAGACTTCATGTCATTCACCACTTCCTCACCCTCCAATGAGAAACTCACATTGTCACCACTGAGGCTTTCAAGGGAGTTAGACTTGGACCCCATCCAAATGGGGTTGGGAGTGGGAAGTGCTCCCAATGAATCAAACATTAGGCAAGCCAATTGGATTCCAATCACTTGGGAGAGTTCTATGGAAGGCCCTCTCGGAGAGGTTTTGAACCTTAGTAATTGTAGCAACAATAACAACAATGCAAGTGATCAATGTGGTGGCAATAACATCACTTCAGCCCTCAACCTCATGAAAGATGGGTGGGACAATAGTCCTCCACTAGGGTCATCCCCAACTGGGGTGCTGCAAAAAACAGCATTTGGATCACTTTCCAATAGCAGTGCTGAGAGCAGTCCAAGGTCAGAGAACAACAAAGAAGGAGCCACCACCTTGTGCAATGCCTTGTAAAGTCCATACAAGAAGATCAACTTTGAAGCCATGATGCATGCAAGAAGAAAAGAAAAGACTCTAGTTCTTTTGAGTTTTTTTACTAGTGAAGTTTATTACATATATATTTGGTAATCTTAGAATTTGGAAAGATGTGTTCTTGTTAATTAATTTCCCTTGCCCTCATAACCTTAGGCTTTTAGTTTGGTTGTGGTTTTTTTTTCCCTATCATTTATGTTTTGCAAAGTTTGTATTCAACAGTAAGTGAATGATGTTGGTTGAAGTGTGTGTGGACATGCTTTTGTTTTAAGGAGGACAGGTTTTGGAACCAAGTGGGAGGCTTTGATTTTGCATGACCATAGTAAATATTATGTCTAATTGGTGGGACTCACGTAAGAAAAGTTAATGCAAGGAACAAAAATTGTGTTGTCATCTTAAATGGAATGGAGATTTCTGATTCCTAGTTTTGAAGTTTGAAGTGACTCTTGCTGAAAAAATTTGTTTGGGAATGAATTGGCGTTAGTGGAGTAATGTGGTCCACGAGCTTAGCTACTGTCCCTTTCTCTTTAACGTCTTTTAAATCTTTTGGTTTCACGGGGTGTACTAGTCTGGTTTTGAATGTGATTGTTTAACTTCAAATTTACTTCTAATTTTATCTCAACTTTGTTTTTTATGTTACTTTTTTATATTTGTCGGGTGTTTTGAAACATCACTGCTGCTTTAGTCACGAGTTTTTCATATTTGTAAACACAATTTGTCCATTTAGCTTGCAATTGGTGTAAACAAAACATTTTAGGTGAAAGTTAATCGAAAGTTCATTTAATAGGTTCCTTTAAAATGAGATTTTTTCATAAATTTAATTGTGAAGGATGAAAAATAATTTTCTGTGAAATTTAGTAGAATACATTAAGTAGAAATTATAAATATCAACAAGTATTGATAGGACTATATTATATAAGAATGAATATAGGCAGATCTTAAGTAGATGTTATAACTTAGACTTGAATAAAATATAGTCTAACATGAATTATTTAATGAAAAATGATAGCTTTAAGTTTTTTAAAAAACAATTTATTTAAAAAGATGAAGTTTAAGCTTATAAAAAAAGTTTGTTAAGTTTCTAAATAAACTTATTTATTTATATAATATAATAAAAAAAATATACATATTACCTTATCAACTATAATTAAATAAATAAATTTTTAATACAAAAAATTAAAATTATTAATATTTTTGACATTTCAACTATATTTCAATGTTTTATATAATATATTTATTTAATTATTGATATTAAATAATAAAAAAAACAAGTATAGAGTTTTTATCATAAAGTGTGTTAAAAATTACAATAAGAATGCATTAGTAACATCCTTTTTTTATAAAAAAAAAAAATTTACTTTTATTTATTTTTTCATCTTTTTGTAGCTGTGGACTATTTAATCTTCCGGAAAGTTTTGTCCTAAATTGTTTATAGACAAAGAGAAGAACAATAATCTTTTCATCATGGGAAGAGATTTGTTCTTTTGCTGTGCCTACAAGATTTCTAGCAACCTTCTGCTGAGAAGAGGTTGTCAATTTTTTGTTTATAAATCTTCCTCTGATTTTGCCCTTGTCATTTTCGAAGCCAACTTTGTTAAAAATCTGTATAATTATTTTTTTTAAAATTTTAAATAATGTGTTGTATTTTAAAGGAGACAATGGACTAAGAAATTTAACATATTTAAAAAAAATGTACTTTTATTCAATATGCTGAAGGAGGTCAATAATTGAATTATGGTTTTGTAAAATAGCTATACGTTAGCAAGAAGTTGACATGAACTCTTGACAAAGAATGATATATTTGCGTGTGATTATTTAACCAATTAGTTGGGATAAAAATAAAAATTAGTTAGTAAAGAAACTTTTATCGGATTTTTATTATAATAATAATAAAAAAAAGTATAATTCTTTTTTATTGAATAGCTTTCTATAAAAATAACTATACAAACTAAAAAATAAATAATCAAACTTTTGAGCATGTAACTCTGAAAAAGACACAAACTAACTAAATACATATGAATGATAATATTATCATTTTTGTGAGTTTTGTTTCAAAATCTTTCATAGAAACACTATTTCTATGTGTATACTTTTCTTTAGCACTTATTTTTATGTTAAAGCTGAATAAAGATAAAATTGTTATTCTTTTTCTCTCCCCTTTTCATATAACAATATGAGTAAATAGTTTTTATAAAATTAAAGTATGAAATTTTTTTATAGTTATTTAATTATAAATAGACTTTTACAAAAATTTTCTTAAAAATCATACCTATTATGCTATCTAATTAGTTAATTGGGGTAAAAAAAAAGTAAGTGAATATAAGTTAAACTCTTTGTAAAATAAAAGGAAATTAATTTAACAAAAAAAAATGGTTAATTTTTTGCAATGTAATGAATCAATATTTGAATCTCATGCGATTGACTCTCTAAGAATATATATATGAGGAGGGATCAATTTATTTTAGGAGTAAGTTTACCTAAATTTACTCCGTTCAATAACTCTTGTTCTACATCAAATTTGAACGATTCAACAGTTGAATTTAAAGTTCTTAATGCATAGATCAAATCTGCAAATTTTTTAAAAAAATTGAAAATCATTTAATACTTCATTTTATTAGGTCAAATCAACGTATAAAATGATTTTATGAATATCCGTCAATTTGAATCAATGAAATGGAGTATCAAATAATTTTCAAATTTTTTAAAAATTTACAGATTTAATCTATACATTAAGAACTTTAAATTCAATGGTTGGATCGTTCAAATTTAATATAGAACATGAGTTATTGAACGGAGTAAGTCTAGATAGACTTACTCTTAAAGTAAACAGATCCCTTCTCTCTCTCTCTCTATATATATATATATATATATATGATAAAAAAAATCATACAAATTAAAATGTGAAAACAATATTCTTGAAAGTTATGGGGAGGCATGAAACTTCCACAAATTCACCTAACATAATTTGAGCATGTAAGTCTGAAAAAGACAAAAAAAAATTGTTGTTGGGAAGAATTCGATGCATTTGGTTATTGTCACTTTGGAAGATTGCAGCCACACGACACTCCAAAATTCAAAGAAACAGCATGCATGTGAGTGACTTAATGTATGTCCATACCCATTTTGGTTTCTTTTTGGGGGGTAGAAGTGCTACTTGGGCACACAACACAACTTGACCATAAAAACTTTTATCCATACCTCTGTTTCTGTCACTAAAACCATGCTTTGTATTTGGACTGAATTTGCTATGAAGATAAGGAGGACACTGTCCTTATTCTAGGTCATCTTTAATTTTATATTATCTCCTAGAGTTTTGAAAAGGATATAAGGAATAAAAGCTATACAACTTAAATGGATGAGGGGTAAGAAAAATAAAGAGATTTGTCATGATTCATTTGTTGGTCCAATTCACTGTTCAATCAAGGAAAAACTTTGATATAATATTATAAGTTTTGTTAGTATTATTCTTGGATCATAATTGAAGTTTATAGTATTTTTAATACGTAAAAATATTTAATAATATAGTATCATAAGTATTGTTCATATGATTTTTAATTAGAATTGAAATTTTTCATTGATAATATGTAAAAGGGATTTAATAGAATCATATTATTTCACATTTTTTTCCTTTGGGACAATTTTTTACAATGTTCTCTTTTTTATTAAAATTTTCACTATTATTTAACATTTTTAATGCTTTAAAAACTATTTAATTACTTTTTTTTTTTACATTAAAAGCTTTACTTTTTAAAAAAAAAAATCTCAATTATTTACATTATCAAGATGACGAATTTTAAGGTGAGAAAGAAAAAAAGAATCTCACCCATGTGTGGATATTTTTAAACATTTGATATATTAAATTTAATACAAAGTCATGCTTAACGAAAGAATCATTTAATCTCAGGCATCTATTTATTTTTTCTATATATAAATTAAAATAATTTTCTTAAATAAAAGTGTTTTTAGAAACGATTCTTCAATAAATATAATTTTAGCTACAAGTGTCTTTAGAGATTTTTATTAATATATTAATTTTGTTTTATTATTAAATTAAAAATTAATATTTTAAAAATATGAATAGTTAAAAATAACCATGGATGAAAATTTAAGTTATATATCACAAAATAAATATAATCTATGATAAAATTATTTATTTACTAAAAATTTTAATTATTATACAACTTGAATATTTAAAAATATTTCTTATTTATAATTTTAATCACATAAAATAAAATTTTAGTCATTATAATTTCGTTGGATTAAAAAACTAAAATACTTGGTTTAATACTGTATCTAACTCTTAAAAATACTTTCACTAGAGTATTTTATTTTTTACATTAAAATTATTTTCCATCAAATATCTGCATATATTCTTTGATGAAATTGATGAATTCCTTTCATATTTTTAATTTTTACATTCAATTTTGCTCTTACACCCTCTAGACAAATCATAAATTAAGAAAGGCATGTCATTTCTAATTTATCTTATTTAAAATTTAAATTGTAATTTTAATCAATTATGCAGAATCTTTATTATTTTAAGTTTTCATCAATTAATATATGTATATTTTTAAAAATTTTCATGAAGTACATATAGCCTTAATGAAAGAGTAGGTCTAATAGTCACTACAAATATATATACTTCAAAAAATATGTGCCTCGCATGTAATTTTTAGAAATGTAATAGATCTTAGTCCTTAACTATTCATAAATATTGGTGTAAAAAAAAACTATTCACCAATATTTATCTTTACCCTTAAATTAAAGTTAATCATTTCACTAAAAGTTATTGTCACAATTAATTTAATATCTGTGTTCTTTAATTAAAAACTAATATTTGATTATTAACTTAAATATAAAATCACAACTCAATATATCATTTTACTTTTATAATTTCGGTAAAGGCTTAAATATGTTTTTAATTTTTTAAATTTAGGGTAAATTTGTTTTAGATCCTTCAAATTTAAAATTGTTGTTTTTAATTTCTGTAATTTCAAAAAAAATCATATTTTAGTCCTTATATTCAAATTTTATTAAGAAATTTATCAAACATTATTACATAATATTTATCTATTAGTGTCTTTGTTAGTGAAAAACTCATATTAAATCTTGTTGGTATTGTATAACCGTCTTAATTAGTCACTTTCATATATGTTATTTGTAATCTGAGAGACTAAAATAATATTTTTAAAAATTACATAAACTAAAAATAACAGTTTTAAATTTGAGAGACCAAAAATAAATTTATCTTAAATTTGAGAAACTAAAATCATATTTAAATCTTTCGGTGAAAAAAAAAAGTATA